TAGTGTTGGGTTGCTCCTTCAGTGCTAAGCCAGGTAGATTCACACGAATTTCATTGTGTCCCTAGCTGTTTACCTGGTATTTAGTTTCTGCCACTTAAGAAAAAAAAAAAGTTTGTTTACAGTAACTAGAGTTGTGATGTTTTCTTTTTCTGGAAAAGGATCTGGATACTCCTACAGGCTTTTTTCTGCCAGTACCTTAAAAATAAAATGATAAAAAGAAAAGTTAATGTTAGCCTTCATTTCACTACTGGGGTATTTCTAAAGAATTAATTATTGGAGAAAGAAATTGAGTTTTATTACAGTTTGGCTCTTTATTGGCTTTTTTTTTAATATGTGTGGTATTTTTCAGCCCTATTTAATTTTTAAAAGAATGGCTGTTCTCAGGACTTACTCTGTTGCAGCAATAGACTGTTGAAAATTCACATCTAAAATATCTCTGTGAATGCGAAAAAAGAAAAGCTTTCTTGTCTGGGAAAAATGTATTTCTGTTATTAGGAGTATTTCCTACCCTTCTGGGGTTTGGCGTTGTGCAGTGCAGCAGGTTACGTTTTGCCAGCAAGGTGCTGTGTAAGATTCGTTGCAGCTTTGCGAATGCCTTATTGAGAATGCAGATTGGGCTGGCAGAGGATGTGTCCTTGGTGCTTTTAATAGTGCATATGCAATAGCTTATTTTAAGGGGTATTAATAACTTAACAATTGTGTTTTATATAGAGAAATAAATGTACATAAATGAAAGGAGCATATAAAACGGGTACACCCTAACACTGAAAACAGATGCCAAAATTTCCTTTTAGCAATCAGCGAAGATTTTATGGATCATCACAAGAGGGCAGTGTTTTATAATTTTTTATTTTATACAAAGATGTAACTTCTAGTGTTCTTTTATCTTAAAAAAATATAACAAGCTTATAAAGCAATCAGTCAGATATTACAGTAAATCTAGGACCAATTTTAAATAATTTAAATTACCAAGGTTCTTACTGAGACGAGCATCAGTTTTTAAAGGAATCCTTATAAATGTGTTCTGGGTTTTTTTTCTAGTTTTTATTGCAGAGGTCAAAGCTAAAAGAATTTGTTTTTAAACAACAGATATCTATGGATATTTTGCAATTGTATTCTGCCAGGCACTATTTATTAATAGCCATATAATTACAGTTATCTGGCCTGTAGTCTATAGTATAGTAGTATGCTTCCAGATACGAACAAGAACACTCTCTAAGTGAATGTGTTCAATTACTCTGCTCTAATTTTAGCAAAGAGAATGTAGGTAAAGTATGTTTCAGCAGAAGTGGGTACATCAGACGTGGTTATTGTTCTGTATGTGTCACAAAATGGATAAAGTTGGAAGGGACCACAGTGGATCATCTAGTCCAGCCTCCCTGGTGAAAGCAGGGTCATCCTAGAGCACGTGGCACAGTCTCATCCAGACTGTTCTGGAATATCTCCGGTGAGGGAGACTGCACAACCTCTCTGGACAATCTGTTCTAGTGCACAGTGACCTGCATAGTAAAGAAGTTCATCCTCATACTCAGGTGGAACTTCCTGTGCATCAGTTTCTTCCCATTGCTTTTTGTCCTATTGCATGGCATCACAGAGTCTGGATCCTTCCTCTTGATACCCTCCTTTCAGATACTTATGTACATCTATCAGGTCCCCTCTCAGTTGTCTTTTCTTGAGACTGAACAGGCCCAGCTCCCTCAGCCTTTCCTCACAAGGGAAATGCTCCAGTCCCCTGATCATCTTTGTAGCCCTCTGTTGGACCTGCTTCAGGAGCTGCATGTCTCTCTTGTGCTGAGGAGCCCAGAGCTGGACACAGCACTCCAGATATGGCCTCACTAGGGCTGAGTAGAGGGGCAGGATCCCTCAACCTGCTGGCAATGCTCTTCCTAATGCACCCCAGGGTACCTCTGGCCTGGTCATACCATTGGCCATTGGTGTAATTGTAGCAAAACTTACGTAAAAATTCTTTGTGCTGAGGGTTGGCAAACATTTTGGCCATGTTGTGTGAAAAATGTTGTCTAAGTCTGTTCTACACTTGTCTTTCCACTGAGTGGTTCAGTTCTGCTAGGAAGGGCAGTTGTCGCTAAATCGATGCAGAACAGTTAATAAAGAAACACAGCTCTCTCCTGCCTCCTGAAATGCCTTCCTGAGTAGTCTTGATCAGAGCAAAATTTCACTTTTTAAATGGGTCATATTTTCATGTAGAGAATAATGAGTAGTTATATCAATTTTTGCTGAGGAGCTAGCTGAGGAAACACATCTTTTGTTCCTCATTCAGCTCCCTCCCAGTATAAAATTGCCATGAAAGTTTATAATTTCTTGTTTCGGAGGAAGAGTAATGCTAGCTTGTTGCCTGTTCAGCTGTCTTTATTCATTATCAGTGTATAAGATGAACATAGGAAAAAGATTTAGGCTTGAGTGGAATGGAGCAGAGAACTGAAAACTTAATCCAAGCTATGTGCTGTGTTTGCAATTTTTATTCCAGCTCATAAAAGAAGGGAACTTTTTGATTACACTTCAATAAAATTCATTAGGATTACTTATGAGCAGTAGCTACTGAGTGTGAATTAGGTACATGTAAGTGATTTGGGCATCACAAAACAGTCAGGATTACTCTTAAAAACCAAAGCAGAATAAATAGAGATATAGAGAACTAAAAAGTTGTGCAATGACTAGCACTTTTTCACATAACTGTAATACGTAAATGATAGAACTCTAAACAGAATTGGATGTATTTTATGCATTAATATATTTTCAAGCAGTCATTTTAATAGTTAAAATACAGTAGATGTTATTTTTAAAGCTCATAAAAGTCTACAAAGAAGTTTGCGCTATATACAAAAGGTGGTTTTTTTTAAATCTGTGCATTCAGTTGACATTTGGTGATATAGAGGATATAGAGGATATAGACTTTTTGATCATCAGAATCCTAAGACACAACCATACAGTACATGCAATTTATCTGCATTGCTGTAAAATAACAGTAAGGCTTCCAGTTTATTTATAATTTAGTTTTGTTCTTGTTTGTTTATTGCTTTTAAATAAATGATGGCTTTTCAGGTACATAAGTGGAAGTTGGAGGCTTTGTTATTATTGGGGGGGTACTCTTCTGTCAATGCTTTACTTTGACTCCTGTATGTTGCTGGCTTGTTAAACCTGTAATCCAAACATGTCTTCAGAATGTATGTGCTGATGCTTTACTCTTAACACTTTTCTTCAGCAAGTTTTCAGTATTGGAAAACTTGTCTGTTTGCAGTTGAAATCTCTTGAAGCATATCCAAAACAAACTAAAGCTAGAAACCCTATCCATCACAAAAATACAGATTTGAAAAGAGAAGAAAGGGAAGAAGGATTAAAAGGGAAGATACGCTTACCAAAATCTTATGTGTTTGTGCAAGTGGTGAGAATGCATGAAATGGAAATTGAGATTTACACTGATGTTTCAAATCAGTAATGCTCATATACTAACTTGCAAGTGAGGGTGTGTTGCCAGTCTCACCAGTGCTTGTCCTAGTCCTCAACCCTTGTACAGTTACTGTTCTAATTTCCTCTGGTGATTAACTTCATTGTAGAGGCCTGGTCTCAGCATACCTATTTGCCAGATAGGAAGTGCATCACCACTGGATTTGCTTGCATTCCACTGAATACAGGGATTTTTCAAAGGTTTCTTCCCTTCCTGCTCAGCTGTTCATTGTCAACCTCTACTCATGAAATATTAAGTCTTAAAGGCAGAATACAGGATGAAGATAAACTTGTTCTGATTTTTTTGTATTCATCAGTAGGACTGCTTACATAGAGCGGTACAGAAAGATACCTCTTTAAAAAATGGATGTCTGTCTGACCACTGTGTTGATTCTTGAGCTTTCTTCAAATTTAAAAAACTATCAAATTTCTAGTAACTTAGCTTAACTGGAAGTCTTCTGCTCAGTCTTGTTACTCACAACTGCTGCACTAGAAATGCCATCTTTTACATGTATAGCCTCTGGTTTACATGTCGAAAAGATATTTCTGCAATGCTTTTCCCTCCTGTGCATAACAATTTATAATTTATTTTTTTAGTCTATCATTTATTTTAGGAAAATACCTGCATGTTCTCTATCAAGTATTTGCAGTTGAAGGTGGGGGTGTTACTTATATTTGTGTGATACACTTAGGTCACAGCAGTAATGGTGACCTAGACTTTTCTCTCTGCCACATCAGATGTAAGCCACTTTTTGTGGACACTGGCAAGTTCCAAGTTTTTTTAGTTTTAAACTAAGGAAATAATTACATAAATTAGATCAGGACAGAATTAAGTTGTCTGAAGAGAATTATTTCGAAGTTGTACCAGTTATCATGTCAGTTAAATGACTAGAGAAAACAAAATTTTTTACGTCAGTGTAGTAGTGTCAATCTTTTTTCTGCAAAACATAGGGAAAAACCTTTCCAGATGTCACATATACAAGATCCTTTAGATAGGGAGAAAAGCATATGAAATAGTTTTCATTTCTACGTTAGATTTTTTTATTTCCATATTCCCTTAAAAAACACTAAAGCAATTTAAATGCCTTCAGTTGATAATACAGAGATGCAGCACCTTGAATTAAACAGAGCAGAAATTTTCTTAAGATGTGTTGAGGGCTGTGTACCTGTAAGCTCTTCTTTGGGCAGATATGGTCCAAATTTGGAACCCCTCTAAGGGCATAAGGATTTTCAGAGAAACCTAAAAAACACTCAGGCCCCCCAAAAATGAAGTTGCTGTTTATCTAACTAAAAGATTGAGGAACTTACCAACTGATGGCTGTTACTGTTGGGGGCAGATAATCTGATTTACCAGTACTTTACCCCATTTAAAGCTATGTCTTGATTGAGACTGACAAACTGGGTCATGCACAGCTTTGTAACTACAGGCTCTAAACACTGTTCTGCACAGAAGATGTGTTTTTAATACATGTAGCAGGTAGTAAGATAAGAGGACACTGGTTGGCACACACTCTAGTCCGAGTGCTGGCCCCTGTCACATGAGGATCCTTGTGTTGGGAGTTGCAGGTGTACGTCTCTCTTCCCCCCGGATGATTTTCGTAGAGGACAGTGCAGAGGAGTGCTGGGACTTCAGAGAAGCATCACAATGATACAGATCAGCAAGAGGCAAATTAAAATCAGGCAGAAATTCACAAAGAGCTCTTGGAACCTTTGGCGTGCTTGTGGGTTGACCTCAACAGTTGAGGCTCTCCGTAGAGCAGAGCGGGTTATGTGTTGGACCTTCTCCATGGCAACAAGAAAGCAGAGAGCACAAATCAGAGGTTTTAGGAGTGCAGAAAAGAAGAGCAGTTGTCAGGAACAGTGCGAAATGCCTAATATCTTCTCTTTTTGTTTTACACAGCCTTTGTGAAGCTGGAAAAGCAGGAAAGTGAAGAATTAGAAATACAGAAGTGTTTTGAAGAGTGTAAATGGAATTTTTTTAAAAGTTCTAAAAAGTCTGAAATAAATAGATTGCTTTTACATTGTTTTTAGTTTAAAACAGGATTTTGAAAATTTGCTTTTCAAGTTCAGATTTGTGCTGTGCTGTACTTCTCCTCCTGAAGGCTACTTAAGCACCTGCTTCTTAGCAGTGGCGAGGAACTGAATCGTGGAAATTGTGGGTATATGGGTTTTGCCCAGGTCATTGCTTTAGATCCTAAGCTCTCATCTTCCACTGTCTGAAAAGGCTGTGGCTCATTGCCCTCCCACCCATACCCCTCTGCTTTATTTGTTCAAGCACATGTGAAAGCATGATGATAAGACCAGGGTCACAGACCTTTCAGCCAGGAGATCTGGATAGTAGTGCTGGCTGTTACTGACAGGGGCAGATAATCTGATTTACCAGAACCTTTTTCTGGAAGGGAGGAGAAAAAAAATCCTATGGAAGTGTTTCCATTCCAACTACAAGTTCTTTATGGTGGACAATTAAAAGCTAATGAATCACTGCTGCAGGGAATTTTAGTAGTATATTTTTCAAAGGACAAGACAGAATAAAGACTAAATCTTTTTTTATGCATGTAGGACAGTGTGTTACAAAATGTGGCTGCAAAGATGGAGAAATGCTATGAGGAACAAAATAAAGCATGTATACAACTTCATCTCTTAAATGAGCGTTATATTTAAAATATATCCCCCCCCCCTTTTAATTGCAGATGGAAGCATGGGGTGTCAGTTGTCTTAAACCTCCACATAAGTAGCTGCAGTGTAAATCTCTCCTGCATGAACCTTCTGTGGCAAGAAGCTGGCTTTGATATATGCTTGCTTAGGTCAGGGTGAGGTGGGTTCTGTAGTTGCTGTCACAATACGAAAACTTTGTTTTCAAGATAATGATGATATATGCACCTGTCAAACTTGGTTCCTAAAGCTGCACTTACTCTTAAATGTTTTATGAATTGATATTGTGATCGTATCTTTCACAGAAGGCCTCTCCTTGTCACCCTTTTTTTTCCTTTCTTGGCAATAAGTGAAACTCCTATCGTGTGTGCCACATAAAGGAAAGCCATTGCTTAGATGTTTGTTTCCCAAATTACGATATGGTCCTGGTTGAATCAGAGATTCTTTGTTGCCTGTGAGTTTGTCTCTGTATGTGGCTAAATAGAAAAAGCTTAAAAGGAGAAAGAACTGACTTGCAGGCTCTTCTTTCTTAGTCCCTCCATGTTGGGCTATAGAGTCAAAGGGCACTGGATGAGCAGAATACACGTGCTTTCAGAGCCAGTGGCAGTGCTGGTATTTAAAAGAGACTTTCAAAAGAAATCAAATTGCACATGGTTATTTTAATACCTCTAGAGGATTCCATGTGATGACATCTTCTTCCAAAACTCAACTTCAGATTTTGTTATGATGTTTTAAGCTATAGTTGATCTTAACTTTATTGCAAACAAAACACACACCAGGAACTTGCTCTCGTAGTGACTATAATTTTTCATCTTTGTTTGACTTTTTGCTGTACCTGTTTTCATCTATTTAAGCAGTTAAAGTGCTTGCCAAGTATGTTCTGCTTAGCTCTATGCTAGTCACTGTCTGTCCCTAGTGCAGTAAAAGCTGAATGTGCATTCATTCTCCCAGCCCAGTACAGGCTGGAGCGCGTTAGGCTGTTTATCTTCTTCCAGACAAGTCACAGTAGATGAACCACTAATGGATTAACGCTGGTAAAGAGGAGTTTGTGTGACCAGCTTGTGTGACAGACACTGCACAGAGAACAGTATTTCCTGCGGATGACTTCATCACAGCTTCTTGTGTCATTTTTTTAAATGCAGTGTGTGTGCAGCCCTTGGTCTTTGGGGTCTTTGTCCTGCTACAGCAACATTTCTTTTTCCTGACTACTTGTTTTTTGGGACCCATAGGAGGATTGGAGCAGCATCGATGTTTTCCTGTGTAAATGCACAATAAGTCCATTTCATGTGTCCAGCATTAGATTGAACTGTGCACGTGCTGGCATCTGCACTGTTGTGCTGCTGCAAATGCTTCACTTGCATGACTCAAGGGGCAAGGAATTGGGGCTTTGAATGCTTCCATAAAATGCGTTATTAGCTGGTTGGGCATCACAGATGCAAGGCCAAAATAGGATGAGAGAGGGTGAGATTGCTCTGGAAGGGAAAAAACCCCGTTTTTTCTTTTGGAGTGAGTGGGGAATGTTGCTGAGGGAAATGGCAGTAATAGGTCAGAAAGCTCAGTCGAGCTGAGCTGTCACTAGATATTTGGACATATGTGACAAGACAGGTGATAGAAAAGGATATTAAAAAATGGAAGGTAGCATATGTTAAAATGTATACCTTTAGCAGCAAGAAAATGTTATAGAGAAGGGATGAGGAAAGGACAAAATGAGTAACTTGGGTTTCTTGATTTAAAAGCTTACATGGTTTTGGAAGTTTTTGAAACATCTATGTGTTGTTTAACCTGCTAAGCCTGCCTGTGGAAGAAGTTTTTTCTTGCAAGCAAAGAAAGCCAATTCTGTGCCTGTATTTCAACAAGTTTGTCTTTACGAGTGTTTGACTTCAACTAATAAACACATACCTTGCTCGTTAATCCTTCATGGCGCTGTCACCCACCTAAAGTGTGCATAAAGAGAAACAGATTCAGTAATACAGCTGCCTGTGGGTGGCTATCAAGGTCAAAATGGACAGCCTGGAACATAATTACATAGAAATGAAGGCTGATTTGTTGCCACAAATAGTAGCTGCTCTCTGCTGTTCAGTCCCCTTATTTTAGGCCAATATAAAGGAGAGTTATGCATGCACACACCACTTCGTGAAACAAAAGTGCAGCAAAAAGGCAAACCGTATTTTATATGTTTTTTAAGTAAAAAAAGTGTTACTCCTGTGACAAGGCTGAGCATTGTACAGGAGGAACTGTTGGCTGTATTGCTTGCAGTTGTATGTTTTATCAGTGCTGTTAGTGGATAATTAAGGCTTGTCTTAAGCACAGTGCGAATCTGCAGGGTCAAGTCTTGTGCCTGGCCCTGTGTGTTACTATGTAGGGAATCCCCTGTACCCAATGCCCTAGAATGAATCACCAATCACAATTATTGCTTCCCTCTTCACTGACATGTGACTGTTTCCCTGATTTGTATTAGGTTATTTTTATCCTTGTTCCTGGGTGTCCTTCACAATAAGAGAGGGGTATGTGACCAAAGAGAAAACTGTGGGCCACTCTCATTCCTGGTGCAACTGCATTTACTCCTTTGAAGTCACACGGATTAAATTTGGCTCCTTTGGAAATGCCACGGCAATTTTGGATGCAGCCTGTTTCCTGTCATATGTTTACTAAATGCAGCAGTGATATCAGTGGAAGAGAAGAGATTTGACTTTTTTGAATTCTTGCAGTTCCATGTGACTAAGTGAAGCCCTGAAGGGGCATTGTTAAAAGGTAATGTTGCATAAGTCTATCGCATAGATTTTTACAATAAAATGTCCCAAAACCCCAAAAACCCACTGCCATCCATAGAAAAGTAATGTCTTAATAACCATAGACAGTGATGCAAAAAGGTATTATCAAGGTATGTTGATTGAAGATCTGGACACTGACTTGTGGCGTATAATGTCATTTTTCAATCACATGGAGAAAACATTTCCTTATGACGGGGAAAGAAGCAACAGTTCATCTCATAGTTTGAGAAGTGCTGGTGACAGCAAAAGGAAACTTACTTTATATTTCTTTCTACCTTCTGTTTTAAAGTCTGTTTTGTGCTGAAGTGTCAGTATTTTTTATGTGTTTGGGAGAGGGTAGAGGAAGGCTCACACTTGAGTGTCTTTTTTTTATTCCCCCTCTTATTAATTTATTGCTCTTACAAGCTTCCTTCTGACTACCTTTAATGTTCTCAGTGTTTTAAGAAGCAAGACCAAGAGTAAGAGCCTTTACCTGTGTTTCAAGCCCATCAGAATGTGAAAGATATAGATGTCAAGAAATTAGACTGATGAATAGTAGAACACACTAGGCATTTTGGTTTTTGGAAGTTATTTGCATGCCTTGGGGATAATTGGGACTTGTATGTGTGCTGGTCCATTAGAGTAGCATGGGAGCCAAAGCTTTGGGCTAGTTTTTAGGTGGGGTAAATTTCCTGCAACTGCTGCAGGAGCATACAATAGGATCTTGGGCAGGTGCTTCAGTCTCCATACTCATCATCTCCCCTCATCAAAATAAGACATAAAATAACATTATACCATTTCCAGACTGTTGGTATGATTTACATGTTTCTTTTAGGAAATAAACTCCTTCCTCCGTTATGTGCAGTGTCTACCTAACAAGTTGTTTCATGCTGAGGTTTAGGTTCTGGTGGTTCATAGGTTGTATAGGAATTGGTTTAAGTGCAGTTTGAATTGAAGTAAAAGTTGAAATACACCTAGCATATATAAAAAGTGGAAGTGTAAGAGGATGTTCCAAGTTTTGGTGTTAACCTTTTAGGGACTCAGAGAACAATGACATGGCGTTGATTGAGAAGGACATAGTAGGTAAATTCAACTTCTAGGAAGTAACCTGATGCCAGGAAAGTCCTCTTAAGCCATTTATCAATACCCAGAAAGCAACAGCAATCTTTCAGTTCTCAAGTGTCTTGTAGTTTATGGAATATAATGTTAACTTCTCTGTGGGATATTTTTGTTTCTCCAGTAGGGGTGCTTTTCTATTCCTAAATCAAATTATTATTAAAGCAAATAAAAAGCTGCTCTTATAGCTGTGTAGACATATCCCATACATTTTGGTTTGCTGACGGTCTGAAAAAAAATCGGTGAAAATCACCTTTATGCTCTCAATTACAAATTGATTTTAGTGAGTTTCACGCTGTACAGTGAAGACACTGTATTGCTAACCTCTGCAGGGCATGAGAAGTAAATGCAACTTTAAAAATAGAAATGTGGTATATACATAAATCTGAATCTGTCTTCAATACAAATAACAATAACATAGCTGTCTTGACAAATGAGTAGAATAAAAAAAAAGAAAATTGTTTGCTGTAAATTAAATGCCTTATTTCACATCTGATTTGTAACACTTATCACCTGCTATGTAGCACATGCTTCTGTCATGACTGTAGATTGCTGTTAATCAGGGTTTGGATGTCTGTGACATGGGATGGTATTAGTCTGAAATTTTTAAATTTAACTTAACAGCTGAGCCACTCTTTCATCTATGTTAAATTACCGAACTCTGTGACAGGGTAAAATTCAGACGATTGGGCAGGGCAGCTAACCTGCTGTAGCTGCAGGATGCATTCCAGATTGCAGTAAAGAGCTGCCTACAGCAGTTAAGTTTCTATATGTATGTTCAGTCTGTGTGTGTATGCATGAACTCTGCATTTTTAAAGGTATGTGTCTGCAGTATTTGGGGTAGGAGAGAAGGATTCTCTGTGTGGTAGAATAAAACTTAGCTCCTCTTTTCACTTGAAAACACATTTTACATTTTATGTAACTTCAGCCTTGAAAAATATCTGTTTGTCTCAGAATCTTCTTGCTCCTTGGTAGGCAAGGCACTGGGAGGTCTGAAGTGCTGCTTCTGCCTCCTGCAAACAGCTTCTAGAGAACTCTGTAATGGAGTTTGCCTTAGGAGTAAGAGGATATCTGGACGCATCCATCACTTGTCTGTTCAAAACTGGCACGAGGCTGCTGAGCACAAAACCAAGAACCTGGATGTATCTTTGCCTGATGCCTGCCAGTCACTAGTAGGAAAAGGAATTAAGTGGTCTGTTTCAATAACAGTTCTAGTACTGCTATAAACCACTTAAATTTTAAAATTACAGGTAATTTTTCATCATATAGCAAAAAAAAAAAAAAAGGTTTGCTCTCTCAGTGGGTTAGATCAGAAAAATGCTTTTCTGAGTTAAACGGGCTTCTTGCCTTTGCTGGACTGTGAATAGGCAGCTTTGGGAAACAGGTATTTCTACAAAATTTTAAGTGAATTATTCTCTCTGTGGATGTTGGATTAAAAACCAACCAAACAACAGAAAAAAAATGAGCAAAAGGTATTAAATTTGAAAGGAAAGACGAAAGTCTGAAGAACACGATGAAACCTTCTCACCTTCTGGTGCCGTGCCACCTGTATAAATCCCTACCCACAGACAGCAAGTGTCCTACAAGCACGCAGAAAATTCTGTTGCCTCTGTTGCTGCTGAAATGCTCCCCTCACATATTTTTGACTCAGAGCTGTAATACCTACATTTCCATTTTTTTGATAATCAGCTGTTAATTTAAGTAGAGGAGTTTTTGTAGAAAACTACTGCTACAGAGTGCCAAGCTGCAAGAATCAAAAGCATTACACAGAGGAGAGGTTCCTTACCTCTGGTCTTACTGTTAGTGAAGCACAGAGGAGCTTGCTCCGGGCTGTGGGACGTGCCTGTAGATCTCTGGCAACTTGTCCTAGTCTGTAACTAAGTTGTGGAAACGATTGAAGTAAGTTGAGGGGAAGAAATAACAAAAGTTTCAGAGGCAGGGACTCACTGTGTCATTCGACAGCTCACAAGTTGATTGGTCCCATTTGCCTTCTGACACAGGCAGTGGCTCCTCTAAACTTGTTCGCAGGAGTAATATATTAAACATGGGCAACATCTTTCCTTTTGTGAAGGGAGCTGTGTGCCAGGGAGACCACCTGCTCAACCGGAGGATAAGGGAATCTGGGAAGCGGCATGCTTCAGTGGTGTAGCAGAGGGAGCTGCTTGCTGACACCCTGCCTTTTCTTAAACAAGAATTTCAATGAGAATTTGTTCAGGGAGGTGTTTCGGATAGTTACTTTTGCTACAGCAATGTTTCTTCATCATAAAAAAGCATAAATAGTGTGGGCTACCACATTTTATGTGGGTGTTTGACCTGGAATGATTTTCTTTTCTACAAGGTACTTTTTAGACTACATTTTCATTACATATAATTTTGATAGTTCTGTTACACATCTGGTATTCAGTTTATGATGAGTTTTTTCCAATATCATCTTTCTTCTCACAGTGCTTGAACTGAAGTAATTTTCCTGTATTTCAACTCTCTTCCAACCTTTAATTTGTGGCTTATAAAAACGTAGCATATAAAAGTTCATCTCCAAAATTTACCATTACTATATAATTTGAAGTATTTATCTTTCCTTTAAAACACATCCTGGCACTTTTTCATCCCCTCTCACTTTTTGTGATTGGAAACTATTCAAGTGATTTTTTTTTTTTTTTAAGAACCCTTTCTGTTTGTTTGGGTAGGAGTAGCAGCTTGATGCTACTTTACAGGTTATCTTATCTATATTATCCTATGTTGAGAAATGACAAACACAGTGCATATATGGAGTAGGTTTTGTGCATCTGGGGAATGAAGAATTTGCTGGATGTGAAAAGATTAAACTGTTGAATGTGCAAGCATCCAGCATCAGGCTTTGTGTGTGGATGCGGCTGGCAGCGTGTGCCTTTTCCTGATTTGGAAGTCGCAGGCAAAATTGCAGAAGCTCAGTCTAACTCTGAACACTTACAGGTTCAGTTTTTACAATAATTGTTTAGCACAGACGAGTGCTTGATTTTAAGCAGGAAACCAGACATGGTGGATTTTTTTTGTGGTTTTTTTTTTGTTTAGTTGGTTTTTTTTCATTCCCTGGAAGCCCTGCTGTGGTACATCATTCAAATCAGAGACAGAACGGCCTTGGAGGTGATGTACCACCCTGATTCAAACTGAGCTCTGTTTTTATTTTTGTAAATATGGTTTAGCTAGTCTGCAAAATTGGTTATAAAATAGTTGAAGTTAGCAACTCGGCTTTAGTATAATAACTCTGCCTGCTTTCTGCTGTTCTTTAATGTCAAATGCAGGAAATCTAGGGTCACATATTTCAGTTGAAAGTTAATTGAATATCTCCACAGTGAGGAGTGATAGTTCTTTACTGGTGCAAAGGGTTTCATAATTTATTTATAGTGGCATTATTAACATTGTAAATATAAAAAGGCTGTATTTGGCCTTTTTTTGAGGGAAGTTGCATGTTTTCATTGTGTTCTGGCATCCAAGAAAAGTGCTATCACTGTGTTGTTTGCTTTTCGTACTTGTACTGTTGAAAGTTGTGCTATTGAAATTCACCTCTGTACATGGTAATTCCAGCACCCAGCACTGCAGCGGCTGCAATGCCAGTTCAATCCTTTTATCAGCTCACTGTAGAATTATTATATTGTTTACTCTGCCCCAAATTCTTGCCTCTTTTAGTTAATGAATTGGAGCTTTTTAGAAATGAGATACTGTAAAAGAACGTTTGTTTTGTGAGCTGCTGACACAATCATAACTTGGTCTCATTTTCAAAGACTGATACTTTCATTGCAAATTAAGGCACTAATAAAAACACTTAGTACCTCATCAGAAATGTAGTACATGTCTTCTGTAAATGTCTAACTGGTAAGAAATTTTAAAGTAGGAAATTATTTTTTTAAACAACCATAACATGCACAGGTTCAGCCCACTTGTTGTAGATCTTGTATTGATGTTGTTTCTCTGAAAACAAGCTTGTTTGGGTACCTTCTCTTGAGAACATTTTTCTGGTTCAGCTTAGTATCATTCCCTTGTGTAACTCAAGGGGATTTTGGTGAGGTTCTGAGGCAGAGGCCAAAGTACTGCTTATGGGACATGTCAGTCTGACAGGTACAGACAGACACGATATATGAGCACATCATTGTGCTGTTTTCATTGACTCCTGAGTGAACGGGTCCAGACATCCATGGATATCAGAAAGGAAAAGCTTTGAGAAAGGAATCTGTGTTGGAGGTTCTGGTCTGCTGTATTTTGTTCTGGGGAACACGAATGTGCAGCTGTTGCTTGCTTGACCTTAAATGGAGATGATCTGGGCTTTCTCCAGGAGAATTAGAAATCTACCACTAGAACATGCTTCTTCTCATAAATTTGTTTAAATTGGGATAATGTCCAAAACAAGGTGTGTTGTAATTCAGCATACCAGCTCTTTTGTTTAAATAGTCTTTTATTCACATAATAGTATTTTCCTGGATTATTTTATTCACATAATAATAATTTCATGGATTGTTTTTATCTTTCTTGTGCTAGTTTTTAAAATTGCAGCTGTGGACACTGGCCACCTGTATAACCTGTGTAAAGAGTTTGAGGTGCCACTACCTGGTGTGCTTGTAATCGTGACTGCATGGAAGTGAACTGTTACCACAGTCCAATTATTTATAACACACAAGTAAAGAAATTCAGCAGTAAATCTGAGTACTCAGATGCTTCTGAGATGCTTCCCGCAGCACGTGTAGTCATCCAGGTATTAGCAGATGTGGCTTACAGTACCTCTTTTGATGGTCTCTGCTAAGAGAAAGGACATAGTAAATGTATCCTTCAGTTATATTTGTGCTGTGGGTCTGATGTGGCCTAAAGGGAGGTGTTTTTCTTCTACAGGAAAAGCAACATTTTCAGTGCTGGTGTGAAGAGCATTACAGAATTACACTAAATAAGGCAATAGCCTAGTCAATTCAGAGATAATAACTTTCTTCTCTTTATTTTTTTTTTGATGCCTTTGAGTTTTTTTGCTTGAATTTGATAGATTTGTGGCCCATACATAATGTTTTACCTGATGTCTCCTTTAAAGCTTATCTGACTTCAGTGAATCTCACTCACACCTGGAACCTCAATTTTTTTGATTTTTTAAATTTTATTTATTTATTTATGTGGGGGAAGTTGCCTTTTTGAGTCTGCACATTTTCCTTCTTCCTTAGTGGGACTTTGAGTCTTTGTTAGTGTTACAGGAAACAGCTCTGCTGAGAGATCTGGACTTTGCATCATGTTATTTTCCTCAGGGACACCGAGTATTTACTTCTCCTGAGCATTTGGCAGACATTAAATTGGTTTGATCTTCACATTTTGTTCTTCATTACAAACACAATAAAATTACCTTTTTAAGGCGGCAACTTGGGAAGCATACCATCACAAAGTGATTTAAAAAACCTATGCAAAATAAATAATTAGAAAACTATACAAGTTGGTCTGAAATATTTCTCATTTTGGAAATAGCGAAGGCTCTGGCAGGACTAATCATCTGGTTTGTTATGAACCAAAGACATTTTTGGAAAGGCCATCTTGAATGTTTTCACTTACTGTTACTGGCATGAACCTTTAACCATTACAGTAGATCCCAGGATGCAGGAGTGTTTCACACCTGTCTGTTGTCTTTGGTGCTTCGACCCAATGTTAGGAGAGAAGGAGAAAAAGACATTTTGCCTGGATCTTGCTCTGAAAATCCGCCGTGTCCTCCCTCTTCCCGTACCCCTATAGGAAACACTTATTTCATTTGGAGGTAACACAGCACAGACTTGACCCAAGTAGATGGTTTATTTTGCCATAATATTGACAGCACAAAAAGCTGTGCTCTTTTAAATACCTGGTGGCTTTCACATCAGTGAAGTGTACCTTTTTACTGGGTTACTGAAGGTCAAATAATTCAATAGTAGCAGTTAGCTGCAGTGATACAAATGTCTTCAAAACAGCAACATGACAGAGGATAGGAAATTCTATGATATTCATTACACTGGAATATTTTTTATTTCTGTGAAATGCCTTGGAAAACTGTATTTTGGTGTTTACTGATGTCCTCGATTGGTTAAGCTGAACAACGTGCTTTAGGTGGCGTGCTGAGATCCTTATACCTAAGAAAGTGTGTCGAGTGTCTTTCAGATACACTGTTCTAGGAAGCACAGAGATTAGTTGTGTCATTTGACATGTTGTGAGTGATGGATGAACAGCGGGACAAAGGCATATGAAGGAGAGATAAAGTTGGAAGACCATGTTTCAGTTGCCAAGTGGTGGTGCTGGATTATCTCTGCTTTAAAGGGTAACTGTGGAATGGAGGGGGAGAAATGATTGGGCTGCAGCTTTTGCTGCTACCTGTCTTCAGCTGAAAAGTTGTCCTGGCAGAAATGCATAAACATTCACAGAATCACAGAATATGCAGAGTCGGAAGGGACCCACAAGGATTATCAAGTCCAAGTCCTGGCCCTGCACAGAACAGTCCCTAAGAGTCACACCATGTACCTGAGAGTGTTGTCCAAACACTTCTTGAATATTGCCCAAATGATGAACATATTGGGAGCATTTAAGAACTGAAGGTTCTTTTGTGCAGAGTATTTTAGGGATCACCCTCTGGAGGGGCAGCATGTAGATCAGTGGCCTCAACGTCTTGCTTCACTGGGATCTTCATTCAGATCAACATGGAGATGGTGTAAATGAGCTTTTTAGAGAGTTTTCCCCACTTTGGTCCCACTTTGAGAAGTGGGAAATGGGAACCAGAAACACCTTTCTTTTGGTTGGTGTTAAAGAATGGCATGTGTCTTCATTTACTTCTTCTGTCCATTGCTCTGCCCTTTATTTTTTTTACCCCTCTCTGTAGAGTGACTCTAAAAGAGACTAGCACAATTCCCATGTGTCAGCTATCCATTACTTCCTACCTTTGTTATGTGCAATTCGTGGCTAAAACAGTAAGGTGTGTTTTTTAAACTTCATCAGAAATCACTGAAGTTTATTTAAATAGCAGAATGGCTTTTCCCTCCTTGGAAATGAAG